GAAGCTTGAGGGCTGGAAAAAATGCGAACGAAGCAATGAGGATCATTTTAGGTGCCCTCGTACTGCCAAAAAATTTTTTAAAATGCAAAAAAACTTATTTCAAGCATCAAGATCGTGTTACGAAAGAAATATCCTAATTGGGGTTAATATCTCAGGGAAGCTCATTCAAACCCCCGCACAAAGCCCTCCAAAACTTTCCCCCAGCATGTGAACACTCCTCCAATGGATCGAAAAAAAGGGGAACCCACCTCCCATGAATCGATACATGATCTTGTCAAGTAAGGCAACACGCCTTCCCTTTTTCCCCTCCATGGAAAAACCCCTTCCAAACCCCATTCCTCCTTTCCCCCCCAAAATACTTTTAAATCACAACCAAAACTTTGCCTTGAAGCCAAACATGAGGCCTTAAGCTGTATTGATAACTTAACACACAGCACACACTCCGTAAATTATTTCGCTGATGGGTTTTGTTCACCCAAACCACGGTGCAGCTGGGATCTGTGTTGTCGTACAGAGTAGGCTCCTTAATAAAGAAATTGGACACGCTCAATAATTGGGCCTCACCCTTCAGACAGAACTGTTTGCCATCCCTTGCACTGAAAAGCATTGTGTATCAAAGATTGACATTTAATTGTAACTGATTCTCTGTCATCCATAAAAACCTCAACTTATTAAGTAAATGGGGCTGTTGTGTCAGAAGCCAGACACAGGCTGGTAGGATTGTGGGCATGGATCCAGAGGACTGTGTGGATCCATCTCCCCATTGGTTTCAGATGCATGAAAAATGAAAAAATTTTCTAAGTGTAGCTTTTTAAAAAGGGGGTAGATTACAATCTTGGCTTGTCAGGTAGTAGGGGGAACAATTTAAACAAAAAGAACTTCAACCAATTTTTATGGACTTTTGGGTCAGGAGTTGACACCAGTTTGTTTTAATTTTTATGTTTTTTTTGCACCCCATACCCCTCCTGTGGCGGTAGTCAAAAGAATTACAGAGGTACTAATTTCCCCGGGACGGTCCAAAGTTTTGATAGCTACAATTACGAGGTAATAACTCACAATTTACAAAGCTAATGAACTCACAATTTACAAAGGTAATGAACTCACAATTTACAAAGGTAATGAACTCCAGGTAAGTCTGGTCACAATCATGACAAGTTACAAAGGTATTTACAGATAACAGAGGTACGTAATGGTCAGGCGACTGGGTCCCCCCAAAGTTTTTGATAGCTGAACTAGGTACAAAGGTATGAGCTCACAGTTACAAAGGTAATGAATTCTGTAGAATGGTTACTTACGTATTATACATGGCTACAATCATGAACAATTATAGTGTAATGAGCAATCACACTTCCACACCCGGCCACAATGTAGTGGTTATTGGTGCAAATATTGATTGTTGGTCACACACTCCACATCACACACAACACAACTACACACACACCACAACACACACACACCACACACACATAGCACACACGCACACCCACAACACACACACCACACAGCACACTACACACACACCCAACACAACACACACAACACCACCACACACACACACAACTGTAGTTTAATATCTTTGCACCCATACCCATCTGTAGCGATAGTCAAAAATTACAAAGGTACATAATGGTCCATGACTGGGCCCAAAGTTAGATTGTGAACTAATTACAAAGGATTTTAACATGATCCATCTAAACATCATTCTATCATGCAGGAGGAGCACATGTCTATGGGGCATCCAACAAAATAAGAAAACTCTTGGATGTCACTACCGCCCGGTCCGGCTGGGTTAAAAAGTATCTTGGCAGGTTAAATCACCACCACCAGATGTAGACCAAACGAAATGTAAACTTTGCCAGATGGACTATTGTCACACCCTCGTCCCTTATGTACGGAGTGCGATAAAATTTAAAGAATTTAGAAACAACTCACTCAGAAGTGTTCAAGAAATGGCTAAGTATTTTATCCAACATGTTATATTACAGACCATTCTGGAGAAATTTCCCTGACTTTGCTAGCTGTAAATAAAGCATTACCACATTGGGGCATTTGTATTTTTTTTTTGTTTATTTTTGG